CATATTGGGGTTGGCATCAGCGGCCATGAAGGGATGCAGGCCATGCTCAACAGTGACTTTTCCTTCTGCCAGTTCCGCTATCTTCAGCGCCTACTCTTGGTACATGGCCGCTGGTCTTATAATCGCATGTGCAAGTTTCTCAGCTACTTCTTTTACAAAAACTTTGCGTTTACACTGGTGCACTTCTGGTATGCCTTCTACAATGGGTTCTCTGCACAGGTAAGAGAGTGGGTAGCAATCTCCGTTCTGTTCGCCAGGCACATACAGTTTTCCTTCTCTAGAAAGAAGCCAGTATATGAAATGTTGCCATTCATCTCTTCACCCTATATTAATCCTATTTCCCAAACCTACATTGACCTTACATTTACAGATCATAAGGTTCTGTTACTGACTGCTACCCTCAGAACTTTCTCATGAGCTACATTGATACTAGAGCTCTCAACATATATAATCAAGAAAAACATGGAGGATCTGGAAGTTCTCTTAGCATCCAAAGTCATCTTTTTGTTTTTGTTGTCCATAATATCTTAATAACTCTCCACTGGTATTGCTTTTAGTTTTTTATTTTACATATATGAATGTTTTGCCTGCATGCATATATGTGTATCACATGCATGCCTGGTACCCTCAAAGGCCAGAAGAGGGCCTCAGATCCTTGGGAACTAGACTGCTCCACTTTTAAATATTGGTTTTAATTTTGTGATTATAATATGGAAGAGACATCTTTATTTTTAAATTATCAGAATCATAAAACTATAATAGTTATATGCTTCTGAGGTACTTTAAAATGGTTACATTTTGAGTCTGTATATGAATAATGACAATAGTCCAAATACATCATCCATACAGCTTAGACTAAATACTGAGCAAGCCTCCAGGAGCTTCTTGGACCATGACAGACAGGCTGTTGTGATACTCTAGCTGCCCGGGTCTGCCCCAACATGCACAAAATTGTTCCTTTAATAAATTAATTTCACATCTGAATATGAATTCACAACTTAGAAAGGATGTGTAGATTTTGTTGTTATAAGAAGAGCCCTTCATCCTGTGAGAAGCCTTTTGGGAATCTCTCAAGGAATCCCAAGAAAAACAATGAGGACTGGTTATCTCAGGAGATGCCTACACCAGTCAGCATCCAGGGAGACTGACACACCCCAGTCCTAGACAGGCCAGTCTGGTCTGCAGGAACGGTCTGACCTCCTGTGGACAGTCAGGAAAGCAGCCTTCACTAGGCTCCAGGATGGTGCACCCAACTGGAGAAGAGTCATTGCATCTTTCCCCCTTGCCCTGTCAGTAAATGTTCAGGGCCATGAGCCACCAAATGCCACCAAGCAGATAAAAAGAAGAACCTCAAGCTTTCACTTGTCTAGAAGTTCAGGACTATGACTAGCTTTCCCTGGAAGCTGATCTGAGTCCTCTCTGTAACCTTAGGGACAGTACAGGTTGTAGTAGGGTTGTTTCAGATCAATCTTGGAAATTCCACATGGCCTTGCCTCAGTCTAGAAATGAGAAATCTGGAGTAAGATCAAAGAAAGACTGGCACTCTATATCAGATTTCAGTCACGCTAGGGAGGGGACCAGAGGAGGGTGGCATTGGACCTGGGAGGCAGAGCTGGGACTTCATGAAGAAAGTAATCTAAAAATATCTCCTTGATACTCTTCCAGACAGTTTACGATACTTGGTTTATCACCTGCTACAATCTGGTCTACACTTCTCTCCCTGTTCTCGGCTTGAGTCTGTTTGAAAAGGTAAGACCCAGGAGCAGGTGGGTCTCTTAGACAGGACTGAAACTCTGGACTCAGTGAGGAAGAGAGCAAGAGTGATCTCTCCAAAGCCAAGTGTGAAGGAAATAATTTCTAGAACAGGGAAATGAGTTGCACCTGGATAGTGCAGCCATAGGTGAGGAGGAATCTTCTGTAAGTTAGAGAGCAGAGCATCGAGCCAAGACTTGATGAAGCAAAGAACTAAGAAAGGAGAGGCCTATTCAGAGGTCATAGGGACAAGAGAGCCTGCTGCAGGAAGGCCTCGGTGGGAGTTCTAAAAGCTAGGTAAGGGGCTGTGGACACAATTCCTTATGACACGGGAAACCAGCCCAGGGCTCACTGTCTGTGCCAGAGATTTCCCTCTGTAGTAAGAGTCCTGATACCTGACTCTTCTACTCCAACCTCCATTCTGGGCACAGTTAGAGTCTCCAGCTAGGAACACAATAGATGAAGACCGTCTTCCAAAGGACTTGCCAATCCTAATTGATATTTCTGCCTCTGCCCACTGACTTTTAGCACAAGAACATTTAACCAAAAGAACACTTACACCTGGGGACTTATATGTCCTAGCTCCTCCCCTCTTCCAAGCTCCCTTGCAGCTGCTCTTGAGCCAAACTGCTCCCTTTGTCACTCCCAAGTCCTAACTCCTCCAGGTGCTCCCATCTTCCTGTCGCTGAGCTTTCTTCTACCACAGGCCCTCGGCTAGAGAGGGCTGTGGTCACTGCTCTCTTCTCTGGTTCTGCTTCTCAAGTACCCTGTGAGGAAATGCCTGGGCAGCATGCAGCAGACTAAGTGAGGCAGGACATCTCTACTTGGAGCGATGTAAAGGTCTGACCTTCCCCTTCCCCTGTAATGTTACCAGGATGTAAACGAGACATGTAGTCTGTGTTACCCAGAGCTATATGAGCCAGGACAGCACAACCTGTACTTCAACAAGAAGGAATTCCTGAAGTGTTTAGTTCATGGCATCTACAGTTCCTGTGTGCTGTTCTTTGTCCCCATGGGGACCATCTTCAACTCAGAGCGCAGCGATGGGAAGGACATCTCCGACTACCAGTCTTTCTCCCTGCTAGTGCAGTCCACCTTGATCTGGGTGATGACAATGCAGGTGTGGCCCCTTGTAGTAGGAGTAAGGGGACTGGGTGGGGAGCCTGCCTGTCAAAAGAGGGAGGTGAAGAGGGGGAGTGGGCAGGGACCATCTTCCATTACAGGCTTAGAAAATGGAAGAGGCTGACAAGTTATACAGCGTTGCACATGAGCTAGTACTTTTCAGATCGCCCTGAGGACAAACACCTGGACGATGATAAGCCATGCCTTCACCTGGGGTAGCCTGGGTCTCTACTTTTGCATCTTACTCTTCCTGTGTAGTGATGGCTTGTGTCTAATGTTCCCCAGCACCTTCTACTTCCTAGGTAAGACCCTGATCAGCCGGTGTTTGGCATGGGGGAGGACTAATAAAATGCTAATCTAATGTTTACTGAGAAACTATATATTACATATTTGGTGCTTAGATAGCATATGAATAGAAATAGTCCCTTCTCCAAAGGGGTGCAATACTTTCCTAGGAAAATATTTAACTTTAGAATTTCCAATTTTTTTCAAATAACCTAGATTATTTGATTTTCATAAGTCTCTTGTGAAGTGTCAGGGCAAGAATGATTAGCAGCTGGGCTGGAGAGATGGCTCAGAGGTCAAGAGCACTGGCTGCTCTTCCAGAGGTTCTGAGTTCAATTCCCAGCAACCACATGGTGGCTCACAATCATCAGTAATGAAATCTGGTGCCCTCTTCTGGCGTGCAGACATATATGGAGGCAAGATGTTGTCGTAATAAATAAATAAATCTTTTTTTAAAAAAAAAAAAGAATGATTAGCAGCATTGTTGGGACTTTTGTTGGTTGGTTTTATGATTTTTATTTTATGTGCATTGGTATGTGATTTGCCTGCATGTGAGGGTATTAGATCCCCTAGAACTGGAGGTAAAGACAGTGGTGAGCTGCCATGTGGGTACTGGGAACTGAACCAGGATCCTCTGGAAGAGCAGGCAGTGCTCTTAACCACTGAGCCATCTCTCCAGCCTTGGTTTGTGTTTTCAATCAAATGAACTGAAATTCCACTCCAAACTCCCTTCTGCTGAGGCACACTGCCTTACTGCCTCTCACACTGATTTCCCCACTCAAATGCTGTTTATGCATATGTACCTGCTTCCTACCTCCTGTCAGACCACTAACTCGTTTTTCTTCTCCAACGCTTTCTTTTTTAATTTATCACATTTATTGATTATGCAATTACTTATTGGGCATGTGAGAGACAGACAGAAATAACAACTTAAAGAAGTTGGTTCTCACCTTCTACTATATGGGTCCCAGAATGGAACTCAGGTCATCAGGCTTGGAGGCATGCTAACCTCTAAACTGTCGTGCTGGCCCCTGCCTTCTGTTCATGTCTGCATGGTTGCACTTGGATGCCCTTATAAACCCTCCCTCCTTCTCCTGCTCTGTCCAGTCCTGCCTTTAGAGGGAGACAAAGGTATGTGAATTGTCACCAAATCAACTTTTTTTTCAAGACGGGGGAACTTTCTACTGTTGGGTAGTCGTGAGAAGTGGAAAATATACAGTGACTTTTTTTTTTGCATTTATATTACTTCTCAGGAGACTAGATTGTGTGGAAATGAGTAACTTCCTTCTTGGGCCTGGAGAATGGACCTGTGCCCTGGCTGATTTCTCCCCCTAACTCTAAATCCCTCCCAAGCTGTTTCAGCCTCTCCTTTTCTGGCTCACTGCTTGCAGGTGTGACCAGGAACAACCTTAAGCAGCCACAGATGTGGCTCTGTCTTATCCTCAGCACGGTCCTCTGTGTGATCCCTGTGATTGGATACAACTTCCTCAAGCCTCTCCTCTGGCCTATCAACGTGGACAAGGTGTGTGGAAGAGGGGGCCTGCCCAGAGGGGTTCATGACCCCTCCCTCTGCCTTGGCCTCTTCTGAAAACCTTGTCCCCCATGCTCTGGATATAGGTTCTGGAAAGGATTCATTTTTGCTTGAAACATCCGCTGCCACTCCCAGTCCAGGCCAAAATAAAACACCCAGGCCTTCGACGTTCTGCCTATGCGTTCTCCCACAAACAGGGCTTTGGGGACCTCATCACATCTGGCAAGACAATGAAGTCCAGTGCCTTCAAAACAAGCAAGAGGCCCTTATAAAAAGTAGAGGCCCTTAGGAAAACCCTCACAGTCAACCATTGCTTTTCCTCCCTTTTATTTATGCGACATAGTGGAAAGGGATTGGGGTCTTGAGAAATCAGCATAAACCCACTCTCAGGGCTTCAGCTTCTTCATTTCCCCAGAAAGCTGTCCCAGGAAAGGCAAAGGAAAGAGAAAACAGACATCAGCCACAGTTAACAGAAAGCTGTCCCAGGAAAGAGAAAACAGCCCCCAGACATCAGCCACAGTTAACAGAAAGCTGTCCCAGGAAAGAGAAAACAGCCCCCAGACATCAGCCACAGTTAACAGCATTTCAAGAAAAGGCAAACTGAAGCCTCTCATCGTCCCTTCCACATCGCAATCCAGATGAACAATGTGGGAGAGATGAGGAGAGGCGACAGAGGAGGAAGGAGGGGCCGAGAGTGTCAGTCTGGCCTGCTCCTCCCTACCCAGAGCAACTGTGAACTCCCCATTCCACGTGGGGTTTCCGCCCAGACACCATTTCAAATTTACATGGAAGATTCAGGGTGCCAGGGCAAGCGTTTTGCTGGCCCTGAGTAGCAAAGTGGAGGGAGCTGTAGAGGCCGGGTCTGAAGAAGCCGAGGGGTTCTGGACCAAAGGAAAGAAAGAAGAGAGAAGACAGAGGCAGGTCCTGCCTGGATAGGACAGCTGAGAGTTTGCCTTCCCCTCTCTGACCCTTTTGATCCAGGAACTGACATTCATTCAGGCATTAGAACCAGGAGGGGAACAACACAGAGGGTTTAAAACACAATTTCTTAATGGGATGTAAGCCATTGCTAGTGAGCATTTGTCTTCTATAAATGATTTTGAGAAGAAATTGTATACACTTGAAAAATGTTTCTAAGAAGTTTGTGGAGAAATAAATTGCTTATTTTGGAGTGAAGAGATTTGTATGGTCTATTGAGGCCTTACTGACAGTAATACAATCTGAGCAGTATCAATGTGAAGCATTACCAATATAAGCATATAGTATGGACCCCCATTCCCTGCCCCTCTCCTTTTTCAGCTTCACCCCACTTTTCAGCCCCCTAAGATCTATGTTGGCCTTGGTCTGACCACACATTTTCACACAAGGTTTTTTCTTTTGGTGGGGAGAAGCAGGGGCTGGAGTTCAAAAGTCCTGGAGCTAACTATACAGACCAGGCTGGCCTCGAACTCACAGAGATCCGCCTGCCTCTGTCTCCTTAGTGCTAGGATTAAAGGTGTGTGCCACCTCTGCCCCTGACCACGCATTTTTAACTACATAGTTCTATCTTGTTCACATACCTTCAGCATGTGTAGATTTCAGCTTCCTATGTCTCTTGTCCTAACGCATGACATACCAATAGAAAAACACGTCTCATCTCTATAACCCCATCTCTTCTTAGATCTTACTCTAAATAGTAAACTGAATCTCAGACCCTTAACTTCTCAAAATGTAAACTTGGATTGCCCAAGTTATACTGGCCACTTCCCCCCAAATACCAGGACACATCACCATCACCCCAGTCACCAAGGCAAGGTGACCAGATTGGAAGTACCCTTTGGTTTTTCTTCTAGTCATATTCAGTCAGCCATCAAGTCATGGCCGCTCACCTCCTTTGCAACCTCCCACTTACTTGTCTAGATCTCTCTGCTCTCACTAATAACATCTACCTCTCTGGCCTCCTGCCTCCTGTTTAGCTTCCTTCCCATCCATCTTTTTATGGCACAGAGGAGAGTTTTACACAGCCTGTGACAATTTCCTGCTTTCCAGTTCTGGTGACCACCTTATGTTGCACAGAATTCCAACCTTGACATGCCAAACTATTTCATTTCCATTATCTTCAGAAGCCACTGTGCCTTGGCTCTTTCTGTTCTCTCCTTTTAGAATATGTTTCCTGTCTTAGTTACTTTTCTCTTGCTGTGAAGAGGCAACGTGTAGAAGAAAAAGTTTATTGGGGCTTATAGTTTCAGAGGGTGAGTCTATAACCATCATGGGGGAAACATGGCAGCAGGCAGGCAGGCAGGCATGGCATTGAAGCAGTAGCTGAGAGCTTGCATCATGATCCAAAAATATGAGGCAGAGAGAGAGAGAGAGAGAGAGAGAGAGAGAGAGAGAGAGAGAGAGAGAGAGAGAGAGAGAGCATTAACTGGGAATAGATAGCATGGACTTCTGAAACGTTAAAGCCCACCTCAGTGACACATCCTCTCACAAGGTCATGCCTCCTAACCCTTCCCAAGCTGTTATGACAACTGGAGAAGAAGCATTCAAATTTACTTTCCCTAAACTTGCTTCTTACCTTTTCCTTAGGAACCTTGGGCAGTTTCCAGTTATTCTCTAGGAGCCTTGAAACTCTTTTTATGGCATGTGGTTACTCATGGTCTCCCACATAAGGCATCTGTAAAACTAGAATTTGGACCAGTGTTATCCTCAGAGCTCCTGAGCAGTCAACACCTCTCAATACTTTACATGCATCCTGGCTTGACTCTTCAAGCCTTAGTCTCTGAGAAGAGCCAAACATTAAGCACCATGCTTGGGAACGTGTGTGCAAAACAAGTTTGCAACTCATCGTTGTGCTACCTACTTTGAGAAAAGGGACAAAACTTTAGATGTCAGAAAGCTCTTTGGGGGACAGCCTCAGCTCCATCTGAGTTGAGAAGGATGTGAGGAAATATTTGGACAGACTGTTGATGTGACTGATAGATACATTTAGGGACACAAAATAATGGTTACCCTGTGCATCACTAGAAAGTTTTTTAAAAAGCAAGAAAAGATTAGCTATCTGCCCAGTGCCAGAGCAAGAAATGGTGACTATCCTTTGCTTCCATGGATTTCCAGGACAAGGTATTACCCAAACACCTTATAGGCCACATACAAAGGACACACAGTGGCTTTATCTTATCAGATAGCAATTGTCTGAATTGTAATACCTCAGTAGAAGGAAGGCAGAGTGTGCTGCCAAGTGGCTTGGGATCCAGAATTAGATAAAAAAAAAAAGGAGAATATGAGGTAAATTTCTTCATCTACCAGATGTGGTGGTGCATACCTCTAATCCTAGCACTCAGGAGGCAGAGGCAGGTGGGTCTTTGTGAGTTCAAGGCCAGCCTGGTCTAAATAGAGAGTTCCAGGACAGCCAGAGCTACACAGTAGGATTTGTGAAAAGCAGAAGGATCCCTTGAGGAAAAGCTAGCTGTAGGTATTGCTGAGGTCTAGAATTAGTTTGTGACATCATACACCAGGTAAGAATTTTCTGCACCTTTTCCTTCAACTCAAGCTCTGGAGAGACGAGGGCTAGAAAATTAGGAGAGTTATGTGGGCCAGCCAAAGCATCTACTGAGCTCTGCTGTTTCCCTACTGAGCATGACCGCCTGCGACCCAATAGAGCTAAAAGACAAGAAAAAGCATGCATCATGAAGCTCTGCATCTTAAAAATTAATTCAAGGGGCTGGCTCGGTGGTAAGCGCACTTGCTGTCCCTGCAAAAGACCTGGGTTTGAGTGCCAGAACCCACTTAGTGCACATACACACATACAAACAAAACACTTAAACATGCAAAACAATAAATAAAAATTATAAAAGTAATCTGGGCTTTTGTACACCCATAATATCAAGAGGCAAAGGCAAGAAAATCAGAAAGGCTATCCTTAGCTATGTAATGGGTTCAAGACTAACCTGAGGTATGTGAGACCCTGTCTCAAAAAAACAACCAAACAGAAGATCCCTATTTCATTAGGTCATCTTAATTACTAAAATGAAAGCTAAAGTGATACACATCAGTTGCTACCTAAAAATAGCAAGAAATTTTATGGAACTCAGAGTCAAAGAGATAGTCAGAGGCAAATATGTTTTAATTTCTTTTTTTTTTTTTTTGAGATGCTGTCTACCAGCACAGCCCAGGCTAGACTGGAACTTGTGATCCTCCTGCCTCAGTCTCTCGTGTCCTGGGATTATAGGCATATAGCACTACATTTAGACACTAAATTATTTTATCCCTCACTCCACAATTCCATTCTTTACAGGCTCTAGTAAAATAGACACACTCTTACAGTTTGTTATTTAGATCTATAAGTTCGCTCCATTCAAGCCACTATCTTAGCCACATAAGTCTCAAAGTACAGTTTGTATATAGAATGTTCCAGGGCTTTCTGGAAATTTCACTCTCTATCACATCATATTCATTCACGTATACAGTAAATAGTTATTGGGCCCCATGAATTGGGTGCTAGTCTAGATTCTGGAGATACAGTGAAGGGAAAAAACCAAAGATTTCTGAAGTTTGGAGCATGTCAATTTTCTACTGCTGAAAATATAATTCCATGAACTAGGTAAGTTTACCTTTGTTTTAAGAGAACCTTGGTTTGAAATAAACATGGAAACACATGAATAAGTAAATGATTTTTCAAACCTATGGACAGGAGCATGAATGGTGACAGATTGCTGTGAGTTTACGGCCAGCTGACACAGCAAGTTCCAGGCCACCCAGTGTACACAGGCTTTGTCTCAAAAAAAATTTATAGATAGGCATTTGGTGCAGAATAAATAGCTAGTGTAATGACCTAACATAAGAGTAAACTTTGTGAGAAAAAGAAGTCTGCTGTCTAAAACACAGCAGTGGGCTGGGTAGTTAGATAGATGTGGTTGGGACAGTGGACAGTTTTAAATTACATTTAAAAAGAGTTTGCTCTGGCTTCTCTAATAAAGAATAGGGGTACAGGCTAGACCTACAACCAAGAATAAGAATAGGGGTACAAAGGTGATGTCAGGAAGACTACGAGGCAAGTTTACTGTCCTATGTGTGGCCCAATGGTAGTGAGAACCAAGGCCATAGCAGTGTGTGGGGGGGATAATGAATAGAGAGTACATTTCAATTTTATAATTACTTTATTTTATGTATATGAGTGTTCTACCTGCATGTCTGTACGCCATGTGCATACCTGGTACCCATGGAAGCAGAAGACATTGGCTCCCTGGGGGAAAGAGAACTGGAGTTATAGAGAGATGTGAACTGCATTGTGGGTACTGGGAATGAAACCCAGGTCCTCTGGAAGAACAGCCAGTGCCTAAGAGCTGAGCCATCTCTCCAACCCCGTAAACAGAGGGAGATGTTTCAGAGAGAGATCCAAGGACTTCTGAGAAATGGCTATGGAAAACACAGGCAACAATTTATCTATGTCATTGATCTGGTCATCACCTGCCTCTCTAGTAACCAAGACTATTGGCTCCGGTGGTTACTAGCCTTCCCACACAGACCCTGATGAATGAATGGACCTATGTGGCAGCAGCTGATTCCACCACCTAGAGCCATACCTGGCCAGCGTGGATATGATACTCTCCACGGCTTCTGTCTCTGAGAAACTGAGTCAGTGATATAACAGAGGATCCCAGCTTGATTTGCATTTGGTGTACAACCTGCAGAACTTACTGATTAAGTGGGGGGTAGGTTAAGGGAAAATAATTAGGATCACTACTAGCATCTTATATAATTATTTTCCCTTAACCTACCCCCCACTTAATCAGTAAGTTCTGCAGGTTGACCACAAAGCAGTTTGGGGAGGAAAGGGTTTATTCAGCTCACACTTCCACATCACTGTCACCACTGAAGGAACCAGGACAGGAACTCAACCAGGGCAGGAGCCTAGAGGCAGGAGCTGATGCAGAGGCCATGGAGGGGAGCTGCCTACTGGCTTGCTCCTCATGGCTTGCTCAGTCTGCCTTATAGCTGGGTGTCATGGAGGCATTTCCTCAACTGAGGCTCCTTCCTCTCTGAAGACTCTAGTTTTCGTCAAGTTAACACACAAAACCAGCCCCTAACCACTTTGTAATTATCTTAAAACATTTGAGGCTGGAACTGCAGGGCTTGGGAAGTGTTCCTTACTTACTGGGTTATGTCCGTGGCAATAAGGTCGTGAAGGAAAAGGCACAGAGTGAGTTGGTTCTGTGACTGTCCCAGGGTTCTGGGAGGTGTTAACAGTGTAGACTAACCCACGTAAGCTAAAGCTGCCTGTGAGTTCTGACTATCCACCCTGAGGTAGTGTTCTCTGTCTACCTCAGGAAGCCCACTCAGAAAGCTCCTCATGAAGCTTTGTACTGGACTGAAACAGTGCTTGTCTGTTTTGGGATATCTGCTTTATTCTCAATGCAGAATACCATATACTTTGGGTTTTTCTTCTGACAAATTTTGGTCACTTTAAAATGGAGGACTCAATTTCTGAAACATGACCTCTTTTTAAAATTATTTTTAAATTTTTAGGTATATGGGTGTTCTGTCTGCATGTATGTCTGTGTGCCGCGTGCATGCAGAAAGACCTGGGTTCAATTCCTAGCATCCACATCGTGGCTCGCAATCACCTATAACTCCAGTTCCAATGGATCTAATGCCCTTTTTGGCTTCTGCAGGCACTAGGTGCCTCCTTATGGCTCCCCCTGCTGGAAGAGCTACCAACCAACTCTCTCCACTTCACCCTCATGCAAACTGACGTCCAGAATTCTTGATCCTGCCTGCCTCTGTACTTTAATGGGACAGGGTATGGTGGTGCACATTTAATTTTTTTTTACTTTACGTCCACTGGTGTTTGCCTGCATATGTCTGTGTGAGGGTGTGGTGAGGGTGTGGCTCTACAGACAATTGTGAGTCACCACCCACATGGTGCCAGGAATTGAACCCAGGTCCTTAGGAAGAACAGCCAGTGCTGTTAACCGCCGAGCCATCCTCTCCAGTCTCCAGTCCGGTGGTGTACATTTGTAATCACAGCACTGGAAAGGCAGAAGCAGCAGATCTCTGCTGCACAAAGTTCTAGGCCAGCCAGAGCTACATAGTGATACCCTGCTTTAAAAAGAAAAAAATAAAATAAACCAAGTAAGAAAGGAAGAACTTGCTTGTCTCTCCATCCCTTACAGGTCAGCCCTAAGTCGTTATGAAGTCTCCATCATTCAAGCCTGCCCAGCGTCTCTTCCACTGCCCCCCCCGTCTCACCCCTCAGTGCTGTCACTTGTTATGCCCCTTGTCTTTTCACACGTGCCGGTTCCCTCCACAGCTGTTTTTGGGCTTGCTTGCTTTGCTTTTTTAGACTATGTCTGTAGCTTTTTCTGTCCTGGAACTCACTATATAGACCAGGCTTACCTCAAACTCACAGAGATCTGCCTGCCCCTATGGCACTAAAAGCATGTGGCACCTCTCATTCATTCTTTGAAGCTCAGTCCCCAAGCTTTCTGTGACTGTGAGGTTAGGATACATTAACACACTGTGACTTATCTGCTACCTTGGCTGGCCCACCAAGGCTGCGCTTGCTAAAGAACAGGGTCTCAGACTCTCAGCATTTCTAGAATGGCTGCTGCTTGCTGGGCTTCCAGAGCAGCGGGAAGCACTGGCGTCCTTCGCCAGCCCAGCCGGCGCTGCCCTCAGGCAGCGGGAGTGTGCGTCCCAGGTTTCACCCCGGGCTGTGCACCGGCTACTTTGAAAATGCCAAAGCCCGAGTGCCGATCCCCTCCCCCACCCACACCACACCCCGGTGGCCGAATCCACTGATCTCGAAGGAGGCCAGGCTTTCGCATTCTGTCCTTGTTGTTTTTTACATTTCTTCACGATGCTCTCCTGGAATCCACAGGGAGGCTCGCAGCTGAGTCAGAAGCTGGAGGCCGACCGCACGCACCTGCCCGCGAGGCCCCGCAGTCTGCGCACCCGGCTCCTCCGGCTCGGGCGCAGGGCGGCGCCGCACCCCGGCGGCTGGCTCGGGGCGAGGCTGGGCGCGTGACTGGCGCCGGGCGCAGCGCCGCCGCCGGGAGGTGGGCGCGCTCGCTCACGGGCTTGGCGGGCCGAACCAACGCGCTCCGCGGAGGGGCCGCACGAAGGCTGCCCAGAGCGGACCATCGGCACCACGCCTGCAGGGGGCGCCGGGCGTTACCAACGCCGAGCCGAGGGGAGCGCAGGGGAGCGCCGGCGTGGGCTGCCACGCGACCCCGGGAGGCGCCGGGAGGCGCGAGACGACGCCACCCGCGCGGAAGGACGCGGCTGAGGTGAGCAGCGAGGTAGGCGCGCCTCTCCCCGGGCTAGCGGGACCCTGGACTCCCACTGTCTCTACATGGCGAGGGTCCCTCGGGACGGAGCCTCGGCCTGCCCACCCACCCTGCCCACGGCCAGGCGCTCGGCCTGCCGCCCCGCCCTCGCGCCTCCCGTCTGCACCCTCTGGTCCCCGGCTCTGCTGCAGACCTCGCTGTTCAGAGGTCCAAGGAACCCTCAGAAACCCAGCACCAGCCAGCCCTTTGAGCACCACCCCAAGTTCATCCCCAACTGTCTCCTCAAACTGTCCCCCTTCCCCGAGACGCCCGGACCGGCTCGTGCCAGCCATCGCTGAGCCCACATCTGTGTCCACTCCCGGTGGGAGCACAGCTGCCTGTCATCTCCGGCAGTGACCGCAGCGGGTCCTCTGCGCCCTCCGTGCTTTGGCTCCTGGTTCCCAAGTTGCTCCTTGCCAAGCACCAGTATCAGCCCTCCCTCGTTCTCACCCTGTTTTACTTGGGGGAAACCTTTAATTCACTGCTGCCCGGTCACTGCGCTCACCTGCTGTGAAGGACAAAGTGATCCAGTTGTCATAGATTAGCTGTGGCTCCCCAGGGTGGCCCATCGGACACTGAGAGGGCCATCCACTGCTTATCTTTGTCTCCCCGGTCCCCAGCACGGTGCCTGGCACACAGTAGCACGAATTAAATACCGTACGGTCAGATATATGGATAAATGAGACCAAAGCAGGGACTACGGGCAGGACAGGTGTGTCTAGTTACGTAAAGAAGAAAGGGGGTATCATTTAGATAGAGGACTAGTTCCGTCTTTCAGTCCAGGAATACACAGCATTTATCACCTTTCCATTCATTCTTCCAGTTTTGTTTGCATTAGGACTTCTGTGTACCTACTGTTATTTTTGTTTTTGTTTTGAAGGCGGCCTTGGGGCTGCAGAGATTCTTATTGGGTAGTTCCTTCGAGGCTCCACAGATAATCTTGAAAGAGCTTTGCCAGGGTTACAGTTCCTCTTCCTTGGAGACTAGCTCCTGGGAAGAACTCTAGAGCCAGCCCCAGCCCTTAAATCTGACTCCAGCTGGTGAGCTGGTGCTTCAGGCGGGTTGAAAAAGTGAAGGACCTTGGTTAGGTTCAGGGTTCAGGGAGGACTTATTTTTGGCCCAGGGTTTAAGGAAAGTAGGTGGTGTTGCTGGATGATGAAACAGCGCTGGAAAACGGTAGCCGTTGATAAGCTAGGAAGAAGGGCCTGGTAGCATTATTCCAACACGGACTCAAAGTAATTAGCAAATAGAAACAGTGGCTGAGGAGGCTGGGGACGTAACTCGCCAGCAGAGAGCTTGCCTGGCATCAAGTCGATGGCTTCCATCCCCAGAAATAAACAAATAAATGATAAATAAGTAAATAGCATAGGGGTTCCTCGCAGGGCTCTGTAGACCATAAGCAGTAGTGTGGCTAAGAAGCCACCTAAACACCATCCCTGGTAGCTCCTCCTGCTGCCTGGCCTTGGGCATTTATCCATTGTTCTTTCTGCTTTCTGTTGGTTTTTATATTGATGTCAAAGGACATTTCCTGTCGCTAGGGGTTTTTTTAGGCAAGGTTGACATGCCCTGAACTCAAAGACATCTGCCTGCGTCTGCCTCCTGAGGGGTGGAATTTAAAGATGCCGGCCACCACATGAAACTTGACCATCACTTTCAGAAGTCAAGCCTGCCTTCACCATATGCAAAGGATGTTTTTTCATGTGCCAGTGTCTAGCGTTGATTCCTCGTCCTCCTACAAGTCTCTGTAAAGTAAAACTTTAGACATAGAAACCCACCATGGTGAGGGGCTCCTGAGCCACACTAAGCAATATGATTTTTCACTTTTCTTTTTCATAATCAGTTTTTAATGAATTTAGAGTCCTCTACTTTTTCTGTCGTAGGCTCCTTGCAGACCTTAGTAACCCCAGATCAGAACACCCTGGATTATTGACTTTTTTCCTTAATCCCAAACCTTCAGAGCATTACCAGATAAATTAGTTGTCCGGTTAAATTTGAATTTCTGATAAACAACAGAGCCCTATAATTTTACTTGCTAAATCTGGCAACCATAGTTCATGGAGAGGCTTATGTGTTCTGTTTTCCTCTCAGGGCTTGCTTGCAAATTTAGGACAATAACTCACCCTTTTCTTCCTGTCTTCCTGTTACTCATGCACAATGACTGTGCATTCTACTAAAAGTCACTTGACCAAAGAGGTCATGCAGTCCATGATGGGGTAAGGCCAGGTTCGGTGACGTGCTCTGAGAGATGAGAATTTAGGTTACCTGAGGGTAGCCACTCCAACAGTGATTTGTAATATTGTTCTTCCTGTCCAGTGAGTTTGTTTTGCATGGGAGCGCCTTTTTGGGTAGACAGGTATCAACACTGCACCACAACTGCCAGCCGTGGGTGCTGGGGTAGAATGGTGGGTGTGGGATTTTACACCAGCAAGAAAGCATTAACAGATAGCACAGTCTGTCTTGTACCAAATTTACTCTCCTTTTCATTTTGATGAAACTTTATGTTTATATTGTGCAACCGTCTCCATCCGCCTTAGAATGTTTGTCTTTTACATGTATGTACTTATTTCTGTGTGTGGGGTGTCTCACCTGCACATGTCTGGGCACCATGTGTGTACAGGGCCCCTTGGAGGTCAGAAGAAGTGGACTAACCCCCTGGGACTGGAATTACACACAGAGGGTACTGAGCCAGCATGTGGGTGCTGAGAGTCAAGCCCAGGTCCTCTGGAAGAGCACCCAATGCTCTTATCACCAAGTCATCTCCCTAACTCCTGTTTTCATCCTCCAAACTGACTCTGGGCCAGTAAGACTTGACTCCCTGACTCCCCCACCTCCCATCTCCTGGAGTCAGATCGCACTTCTACCTCTCGGATTGGCTACTGTAAATGCCATGCAAGTAGATTCATGATAGTTTGAAATAGTTTCTTTTACCTAGTGTAATGCTTTCAAGTTTTATCCATGTTATATCTTATCTCAAATTCTCCCTCATATTTAAAGCTGAATATACTCGGGTGTGTGTGTGTGTGTGTGTGTGTGTGTGTGCGCGCGCGCGCGCAGGTGCGTCCTGTGAGCTGGAGAATGTGTAAACGCCACATCCCATTTGTCTTGTCTTTTGATAGACACTTGGGTTGCTTTTGCCTTTTAGCTGTTATGAATAATGCTGGAATGAATTTGTGTGGATGGACGTTTTGTCCCAACCAGTCCCACAGCTAGTTAGTCCCAAATAAACACACAGAGGCTTATATTAGTTATAAACTGTTTGACTGATAACTCAGGCTTCTTATTGGATAGCTCTCTCTCTTGATTATTAACCCTTCTCTATTAATCTATGTATCTCCACTTGGTCTTGGCTTACTGGAGAATGTCCAGACCTCTTCCTTCCTCGGCAGCTACATGGTGTCTCCCTTGCAACTCACTCTCTTCGTTCCTCCCAGAATTATCCTACTTTGGTAGCCCCGCCTATACTTCCTGCCTGGCTACATCCTGCCTGTCCATTGACTGAAACAGCTTTATTCATCAACCAAAGAGAAACATATTTACAGCATACAGAATGATTTCCCCAATAAATATGAGTGTGCAATATGTTTGAATTTCTTCTTTCAGGTTTTTGTGATTTATACCAAGAATGAATTTCTGGGTTATATGATAGTTTATGAGTTTTTTTTAAATAAGAACCAACATAGTTTCTCAGAAATACTGTGCCATTTCTCACTGCCATCAGTGCAGAAGGAGTCTTTTTTTCCATATCCTTGCCAACACATGTGATTCTGTAGGTTTTAAGTGACCATCCTCATAAGTATAAAGTAATATCACTGTAGGCTTATGTTTGTTTCACTGTTCTGTTTTACAATGTCAGGGATCAAATACAAAGGCTCACACAAGCTAGTGAAATGTTCTACCATTGCTACAGCACAAACCCTTTTAGAAATTGAGGCAGGGTCTAGTCTACGTTATTGGGAGTGACCTTGAACTCAGCATGTTCAAGCAGGCCTTGAACCAGTGATCTTGCCTCACCTTTTCAGGTGGCTGGCACTGTTTCATTACAACACTTTCATATCTACTGCTGTGAGTTGTTCATACTCTTCCCTTCCTCTCAAGCCACCCTTGCCTTTGTGGTTTTGATTTGCGCTCTGCTAACAAAGGGTTATGGACATCTTTTTGTATGTTTATTAGCCACATGCAGCTCTTCTTTGGAGAAATGTCTACTCGAGTCCTAGCCCCGTTTGTACTGGGTTGTTTTCTGTGCATGAGTTATATAAGTTATCTACATATTTAAGCATTAACCTGCTGTCAGATAAATGCATTGTGAATATTTTCCCCCATTCCATGAATTGGCTTTTCTTTCTTGTTTCTTCTTTTGTTTGTTTTAGAAAGGTCCTCACTATTTAGCCCAGGCTGACTTTGAACTCTGTACTGGTCTTTTATTTATTTAACTAAGTTTATTCCTAAGTATTTTTTTCTTTTTGATGTTACTGTATTTGGAATCATTTTCTTAGTTTCCATTTTGGTTTATTCATGGTTAGTGTGTAGAAACACAACTGATTTTTATGTGTTAATTTTGTGTCCTGCAATCTTACAAAATTTGTTCTAACTGCTTTTTGTGGAATTTTTAGGGTTTCCTGGTTGTAGGACCATTTCCTATGGGGATAATTTTACTTATTCTTTTTCAATTTGGATGTCATCTACTTATTTGTTTGTTGACCTCGCTTCTTAGGCG